ATTTCTCCACTATAATTTCAATATTTCTCTTTTATTAATTCTGATATTCCTCTACCATCAATTCTGACATTTCTCCACTACAATTCTGACTTTTTTTTACCATCAATTCTGATATTTCTTTACTATAATTCTGATATTTCTTTACTATAATTTCAATATTTTTCTACCATTAATTTCAACATTCCTCTACTATCAATTCCAACATTTTTTCACTACAATTTCAATTATTATAAAAGTAATAGAATATTTAAATATAAATATATAGAACATTTAGAATATTTAGAGCATAATTTATAATTATATAATAATAAATATAATTTTATATCTATTTAACTTTCACTTATATTTTGACTCTATTCCAGAAAAATAAAAAAAGATTCCATCTAACTTGCATATATATTTCAAAAAAATAAAAAAAGATCCTGTCTAATTTATATATATTCTGATTATATTCCAAAAAAATAAAAAAATTCTGTCTAACTTGCATATATATTCCAGAAAGTATTTTAGAAATTTATTAATAAAATTATTAAATTTTTAGATTTAAATCAGATATTAAAAATCAGAAAAAAATTCAGAAATTTTCAGATTCAAAAATTGTGAATTTTCTGGATCAAAAATGATCTCTTTTTTTTATAGAGGAGTTCTGATAATTTTTTGTGTACTGTTAAAAATCTGAACTCTGATAAAGATCTTTATGGCTGAATTTTCATTGTCAGTGTAATAAATCTTTATTAGAGCTGGATTTTTGACGTCAGTGTGATGATGATAACAGTTTCTTCTCTTTTACTTGCTTTTTATGTAATTTATTACACTAGTTATTACAAATTATTTTTAATATCTTGTTTAATAGAAAATTATCTTTTAAGTTTGAAAAGATCAAATTATTCACTTTAAACTCAAAAAAGAATAAAAAAATTAAAATAATTAGATATAATTTTTCTTGAATTTAATCACTTATTTATTACTTTCTCAATGACTTCTTTATATTTGTTAGAATTTTATCTGGACAACGGAAGTTCAAGTTTGAACTGAAATTTTGCTATTTTTTTAATGAATTCTAAAAGTAATAACAATAACAAAATAAATAATAGGAAGCTTGAAAAGAAAATTATCCAATAAGTTCCAAATTGTCATTTATCCATGTTTAAGAATTCCAGTCATGTTATATTTCTATTCTCTTTTTTCACTTTGGTGAAATTCTTTTTGTATGAATTTAAACTTAAATCTTTTGGATGTTAAAGTAAAAGTTTAATAATCTTTTAAATTAACAGAAAATATATGGAAGTTTTACGTGTTCATTTATGACATCAACAAATAAAATAATCTGTATTAAATTCAAAATTGAAAAATCAAAATGCTTGTATATTTGATATTTTTGTTCTGATGAGAAGATGCTAAGCATAGTAGTATTATTTAGAAGTTGCAAAAATAGAGTTATGCTGTTATATAAGAATTTTCTATGTAACCAATAAGAAAATAGTTTATATTTATTATTAAATACTTCTTTATTATAATTAATTATACTATTATCAAGAGCATAACAGTATATATATATAAGAAATTATATTATTAATAGAATATTCTAGCAATTATTAATAATCTAAAGTATTTATAATCAATATTAATAATAGATGAAACATGATATAAGATTAATAATCATCTAGATTACAATTAATAAGTGAATTATTACAATAACAAAGAAAGATCTAGATATTACAAAAGGAGTATTGTTTATTCATGTATTAATCTATATTAAATTGATTAACATCAAATCTAGATTAATTAATAATTACTATTAATTTAAGAAATTAAGATAAATTATGATGTAATTTCTAATTTAAAATCTTTAACATTAATTTCTGTATGATCTGAATAAATTCAGACTGTAATAACATATTGTTGAACAGTCAAATTACAGATATCAAAAGATAAATTGTGACTTGATATTTTAGAATTAAAGTGATTTGAGTGATTGATTTGAGTGGTTGGTTTGAGTGATTGGTTTGAGTGATTGGTTTGTGATTGGTTTTTGATTGATTTGAGAAAAGCTTCTTTTTTAAAAAAAAGAAAGAAGGTAAAGATCATTTTTATAATAATTCATATGTGTCTAAAAAAATTGATTGTATTAGAATTTTTTATATTTTAATAGTAAAGATCTGACATGATTGATAAATATATCAATCATATCAGATTTTTATCTGTTATTTGACTGATATATATCAATCATGTAAATTACATCAGATTTTTGCTATTAAAATTTCATTGAATATAAAAAAAATTCAATGTGATTAATATATCTATCAATTATGTTGTTATAACCCAGAATTATTTCTAATTTTTTAATTTTTGATCATGTGACTAAATATAGATTATAAAGATAGCAGAGATAGCAGAGTTCTCAGACTAGAGATGGCGCAGCAAATATGTGACATTTATTTGTCACCCGTTGCAACACATTGCAACTTCAAAATTTTATAAGCCACAACTAGTTGCAACTAGGTAATGCTTTATTTGTCACCACGTTGCAACAGTTGCCACGCCATCTTTATCTCAGACATATCAATATTATTTGCTATATCATATTTATCTAACATATATAACATATTTCACATTGTAATAACTTAGTCATAAATTATTTTATATAAATAAATGATTTTTTGGATAACCAAAAGACATCAATTGATCAATACAAATTTAGCTAGTTAATAAATCACTTCTTGTTTATTGTTTAATGAAATTGTATATTAATTAATTTTATAATTATTAATTTTGTTATAACACTTATTTTATATACTACTGAATACTTAATCAAATTACTATAGGATATCAGTATTATATTATTATAGAACTATCATCACACTAAGTAAATACAAAGATAGATATTTATTAGTAGTAGTGATATTTATTCTAAATTAATAGAATAGAAGAAGTTGCATAGCATCATGATTTTAAAGCAACTAAATTAAATTATTAACATATTGAAATAGATATTAATTGAACACACATGTTATGAGATTACCTACCTGAATCCAGAACTTGTGACACTGGTCACAAGATTTATTTAATATTACTATTTGTTCTTTATGTGAGATCAAAAAAGCTAAAAGTACTTTTGTAAAGTTAGAATTTTATTTTGTAGATTGTTTTTTGTCTTTATTAATAATTGAATTATTTGTTGAAATCAAGTTGTTAAAGAAAAGCAGATTGTTATTAAAAAGAATATCTTAACTCATTTTTGTATAATATATTTAAAGTCGATTAATCTATTCAAATATAATAAATTAAATATCTATTACTATATTAAACTAATCAAATCTTGTTCATATATACTGAACAAGATAGTTAAAAATTTGAATTACAATTTGTATTATATAAATAAATAAATCCAATTCAAAATTTAATATGAATATACCTATTATTACTGATAAACCAATATTATATATTATTTTTATTGACTATTCAATTTGATCACATGATTACAATTCAGATCAGATTAAAAATTATATGTAATTATATAGCTTTAACGAATTTCTGATTTTGGGATCAATTTTTGTGTGTGATACACTTTTTTAAAATTTTTTATCATTTTTTATTACTATAAAAAACATATATTGCAAGCAATATTATACATTCATAGTTATTTGTTAAACTATATATGTAATATTTTTATAATATAAGTTTTTTTATTTTTTTAAAAAAAATATTATACTAACTTTATCATCACCTTCTTTATTATTATTCAGTTATTATTATTAGCATTACTGATATTAATATTACATTCTGATAGTATATTATTTTTTTACACATCACCTGAAATGATTAAACTAAAAAAGCAAAAAATTATTACTTCTTTTTTTCTACCTTCTTTTTTTATTCTATTCCAAACATGTTATTTTCATTAAAATCAATAAAACATCTATCTTTAATATTACAAAGTTCTGTATTTCTTTCTTGAAATCACTTGGAATCTAAATTTCAAGTACAAATCATTTTTCAAAATTATCAACCAACTGCAAACATTTCTTACTTTAAAAAAAAATTGATTATTTTGTAAAATTAACATGAACTTCTTGAAAAGTGTATTAAAAATAACAATAATCAAAAAATCAATGCTATATTTATTATATATCCATTAAATCCAGATGCTGAGAAAAAATGGTAGGATTGGATTTATAAGGGTTTAAATGCCAAATTAGATATGTGTCTTGGAAGTAATCACCAACAAATCAAATATATATTGAGCAATTTACTATAACTACAAAAAAATCACTTGAAAAAAAAGAAAATCTAAATCTAGTTACAAATGTTATAATTGTAAAGATTATGATCATGATCAATTTGCTTGTAATATAAAAATTAATGATAATTAGATTTTTATTTTCTTATATAGTTTTATTTTTTTTATATGGTTTACCTGTGTGATTTACCTATTTGTATGACTTACCTGTGTGATCTGTCTATTTGTATGGCTTACCTGTGTGGTCTGTCATTTTTAATTGTTATTTTTATTAAAAATTTTACAATTCGATGCAATTGAATAAAATATTATCTAACATAACTTAGTTATAAATATTTGTATTTATTACAAGATATTTTAATTCTAAGTTGTTATTACTAATAAGTATTAATTACTTTATTGGAAAAAACGGTAAAGCTTAATAGTATATAATTTATATTATACGCAATTAATGCGACAGATTAAAAACGAATAATAATTGTAACAGCTGATGCTGAAATTACCGCATCCTATTGGCTGATCAATTTTTATTCTCTAATTTCATTGGTCAATTTCAGCATCAGCCGCGACAATAATTGTTTCTTTTTTTGGTGACAATTGCATCAGAGTATAGTGATAGCGATGGTACTAGATCTCGATAGTACTAGATCTGATTTAATTTTAATCTGCCAAAATTAAAGTGCTTACTGTTAGATCACATCAAGTCTTGACATCAAAAAATATATATACATATTTATATAATAAATATAATCACATCCAAATGCCTGTTCTTTCCAAATGCATAAACCTTGACTCCTTTATTTCTTCAGCAAACAACCAAAAACTACGCGATTCTGCTATAAAGCTTTTCAATATTTACAAAACAAACAGAACCTCTATAGGTTGGTCGATATGGATATTTGCCATTATTTTACTTTACGGTCGAGGAAAAACTGGTGCTGGCAGAGGCGAGGGTGCTATTAGTAAGAAAGATAAGCGTGAAGCGAGAAGAACTGGTGCTATGACTGAGTCGGAAATTAAGAAACAGAAAGTCGCGGTATAGTATTTGAATTTTGCTAAGTTTTATATTCGTTTTTATATAGATTACTTGCATTTTTGTCAAAAATAAAGAGAATTCATCAATTTTTGGCTTTATTATAGGTTGATCATGTGTTTTATGAGCGTTTAAGAAAGTTACTGAAAATTGTGATTCCGGGATATAAATCAAAAGAGTTTTGGCTGTTGATTGTTCATTCTGGGTTTCTAGGTAATTTAAATCAATAAATTCAATTCTATAAAATATAACTTATAGTTCAAAGAAGCAGTTCTTTCGCAGATCGTGTATTTTTATTCAGAAAAGTTTAGCAAGCTGCATATGAAATTGGATAACAATTTTTAATTTTTACAGTATTCCGTACTATACTCTCAGTATATGTAGCGACACTAGATGGTCGAATTGTTAGTGCATTGGTCAGTATTAGTGGTTGTATTATTTGTATTATGGTTTATTTTTACTCGAGTATACATATTCATAATTCATCTCTCAACTGGCAAACGAAATCCAAAATTAGGTGCGAAAAAACTCTAAAGAATTTTTGGGTGGAATTATATTATGGATGTTGGTGGCTATACCTGCTACTTATACCAATAGTATGGTAAATGAATAAATAATATATTTCTTATTATCTGCGTATTTCAATTATCGTTATGAGATATGATTAAATTTAATGTTAATATTCTTAATTTTTTTATCATGATATATAGTTGACATATATGCAAAATAAATTGGCAATACAATTTCGTACACGACTCACAAACTATATCCACGACCAATACTTATCTGATATGACATTTTACACGATTGGAAATTTGGATGATCGAATTAAAAACGCTGACCAGTGAGTATATTAAAAAAAAAAACTTAAATCTCCTGCTGCAAGAATTCAAATTTGATTATTACTATTACAACTTTTAAACGTGAAATTTAGGTGTATTACTGTAGACACCATGAAATTCTGTAACTCATTCTCCGGTCTATACTCGAACCTTGCAAAACCAATATTGGACACATTTATCTATAACGTTCAGTTATCTCGAAGTGTGGGCGGTGAAGCGTTATTTGGTGTGTCACTAATGGTACACTTCTCGTCAGTGTTACTACGAGCACTGACTCCGCCTTTCGGGAAGATGGTAGCAGAGGAACAAAAACTAGAGGTACTATTTTTTTTTTATTTCTGTTGCTATGTAAACTAATTCATATATTTAATTTTTTGATTGCGTGATTATTGTAGGGTGAATTTCGATTCACTCACTCGCGTATTATCGAAAACGCCGAAGAAATTGCACTATATGCCGGTCACAGTGTTGAAAAAACGATACTGGATCGAGCCTACTTTGCATTAATCAAACATATTAATAGAATATTTAGGATGCACATCTTTCATGGGATGATGGAAGATTTTATTATAAAGTATTTGTGGGGGGCTATGGGACTTGTGTTGTGTTCGGTGCCGGTATTTTTCACAGTGCCGGGTATAAAGAAGAATGATCTTGGCAGTAGAACTGAAGGTGAGTGCGCGCGAGTAAATTGTTAAATTATATATATATGCTTAATGCCCGAACACACGCTAGTTATTGATATAGTTTTTTCTTTAATTTTTTAAGGATTTGTAACTAATCGTCGATTACTATTAAGCGTTTCTGATGCTTTTGGCCGTATAATGTATTCTTACAAGGAAATCACCGAGCTGGCTGGATATACTGCCCGTGTATGCTCTCACAATCATTATGTTTTGAACTACAATACTTGTTATTATATTACAATACATAATGTTAATTGGAGGATAAATATCAAACACGACATATTATTAGGTATCTGAACTCCTCGACGTATTTAACGATGTAAAAGCCCATCGTTTCCGTAAGCAACTAGTCGCCTCCGCAAAACAACCAGAAAATGCAGAAGTATTATCTAACCATGGCGAAGTTATCGAAAGTGAAAACATACAATTCGATAATGTTCCGATTGTGTCGCCGAGTGGCGAGGTTCTGTTACGAAGTCTGAGTTTTTATGTGAAACCTGGTATGCATTTGTTAATCATAGGTCCGAACGGATGCGGAAAGAGTAGTCTGTTCAGAATTTTGGGTGGATTGTGGCCTGTTTATGGTAAGTCGGTCGAACATAGTTATAGGTAATAAAGGATTATATTTTCATTATTCATTAATTTTTAAGAACCACATTCTTCAATTTCCTAGGCGGTACTGTACATAAGCCAAACCCGAAAGATATATTCTATATTCCGCAACGACCATATTTGTCACTGGGAACTTTACGTGACCAGTAAGTAATAAAAAATTTTTCACATTTGAAATAAAATATTGTGCTAATTTTTCATGTTTGGCTTTTACAAGAATCATTTACCCACATACAATTCAAGAGATGCATGAACGTAAGTAATTAGATCCTCAGATTATGTTGATAATTATACATGGATAATTCCTTATGTGTAAATCTTTTAATTTGACAACCGCAGGCGGTTATACAGACGATAAGTTACAAGAAATTCTAGAAATTGTGCAGTTGAATAAAATTGTAGAACGGGAAGGTGGTTGGAATAAAGAACGAGAATGGAAGGATTCTTTAGCTGGTGGTGATAAACAAAGGGTATTTGTTTATTCGTTTTTTTATTAATTTTAAATTTACTGAGTTTTGATTATCAAGGAAATTATATTGTTAATCGATTAGATAGCAATGGCACGACTATTTTATCACAGCCCGAGATATGCAATCTTGGATGAATGTAAGTAATAATTCTATAAGTAAGATCTTGGGGGGGGGGGAGGTTTGAATTTCTTTATTGAATATTACTATTAATAGGTACGAGTGCTGTGAGCATGGATATTGAAAAAATTATGTACACACATGCAACAGGTATGATTTTTTGTTTATTTTTTATTTGCATCCAACAATTATGCATGATAATAGTGAAAAAAATAACCCCCTTTTTTTAACAGAACTCAACATTTCCTTATTGACTGTGTCGCATCGCCCATCACTATGGAAATATCATAACTTTATTCTACAAGTATTTATTTACTCGAATTTTTCTTCCATCAACGATTAATTATTCATGCAAATAAAATCTAATCTAACTTGTAATGTTAATGATAATAGTACGATGGACAAGGTGGCTACGTATTCACAAAACTAGACGCCGAGCGCAGATTAGCTCTACAAGAAGAGAAACAAACGCTCGAACAAAAATTAGTCGAGGCGCCGAAATTGCAAAAAAGGCTAGACGAACTGAAATCGATGTTGGCCGAACGAGATTCTTTGCAGCATAGTGCGACTACTACGCCGTATCATCAGGAAGGTGATATAGTGCCTTTTAGCCTTTCATAGTAGTAGCAATTGTATGTTCTCAGTTTGACTTGTTATGCTATATAATATTTATTGTGTAATAAATAATTATTTCTAGGTTTATATAAATACATTATAGTCAAAAGTCAGCTTAATTCTGGCCAGTTGTTACATTAAGACTTAATTCCAAATTTGGTAGATGACATTATTTTTTTATGTAGATAACAATAATTTCGAATTGAATTATGCTATCTATTACATTCTCTTATTAAGCACACCCTATAATCACACCATTACTGGTGTGAACTAAATATACTCGTCATAAAAAATCACTCATTGGTATCAGAAGGCCGATTTTATGTGTATATTTGTATCACGAAATTTCTATAACATACAAATTCGTTATAAATATCATGTTTTAAAAAATCGCAAAAAATATATATCTTCCAAATCTTTCATTTAAAATAAAGAAAATAATAATAAAAAAGATGGTTCAAAAAAATTATACATTGGATTTTTTTAAAAAAAGTTCTAAATTGATATATATAAAAATATATATATTTATATACTTTTGATTATAATTTAATCTAAAAACTAACAAATAAAAATCATCAAACACAAGAAGAAAAGAGGAACTCAATCAATCGAACTTTATGAATGCATCAAGGATTATTGTTATCAGCAACCCCCTCATTATTATTGTTGTTACTATTATTCGCTACAATCCTCCTTTGTTGTTCTTCCCGTTGCTGATCCTGCCATCTGTGCTGCTTTGCAATCTCATGAATTTTGAATCCGAAGATTTTCGGTACATATCTTTCAGAATTTTTGGGAGGCAATAAATGCGGGTACACTTGAAACAACATATGCGGAAACGTGGAGCCATAGTACGCGCCGTCGATGCTAGAGTGTCGTGTCGATTTCGGGTTGTAGATGTCTTCGCAGCGTGGACAGTAGAGTTTTACGGATTTGGTATATGGTTGGTCGGAGAGACCAACAGGGAGGAGGGGTTGATTGTAACAGAGGACACGTGGACATCTGCCGAAATCGGCTTTTTTGTATTTTTCGAGCTTTTTTGGCGGCGATGTTAGAGTTGTCGGTTAGTTTTTGTAAATCGTTTAGCTTGATGTCAAATTCACATTAATTTATTACTGGTATTAAGTTACCATTTTCGATAAACCTCTAGTAGTAATAATAAATCGTGCATGTATCAATCCGTACAAGTGACGTGCCGATTTTTCCACTTGTTCACGCATATCATCATCCAATTCTTCCTCTGAAATACAGACACAAATTTAAAGATATTTCAAAATTAAAAAAAATTATTAATACCAACCCAAAGAATCCGTGATCAAGTCCAATGCCTGAACATAATGCTGCACCTCAGAATTCAAGCCGGTCAAATTGAACCTATCAATTATGTACTCCTCGTCCACCTCACAAAAGTACTCGTTACCCTTTGACGATAAGAACCAATCTATCCAATATTTCGTGTAATCACTGTCTGAACCGCTTGTTAGATCTTCCACTAAAATTAATAATTAATTATGTCAATTATAAATCAGAAACGTTTCAAATTGTCAGCATTATTATCTGTTACAGATCCCCACCAAAAGTTTCCGTACAGCTTTTTGAAGTGCGATTTTTCGTGTCCCTGTGATTGTACGTGCGTGCCATATAAATAGGATGATCGACACTTGGTGTACGCGTTTGTACGTGGGAATTAACCAACCCAAAATCAAATCTTGTTGGTATTTTCAGCATTTGTGGTTTAAAATTTTTTGTTTTATATTAAGTAAAGAAGTGTACGGAAACTTTTGGTAGGGTCTGTATTTATCTTATTGTTTGCAGTTATCGAACAAATCCACAATTAAAATAGATACTTTTCACGTCTCCGTTTAAATCTCGTTCCTGTCCTTGTGTCTCTTCAATATCCTCCTCGTCCTCAATGAGGATCGGATTTTGTGGTGAGTTATCCAAAGCCGCAGACGACTTGTTCTCTATCACGCTGGACTAGAGAATTTTCGTCGATTGTTGTTGTTTTTGATGTAGTTGAGAGAAGGTGCTGTTGCTAGCTAATTGGGTAAAAATCAGGAAGTGGTGGTATGAAAAAGGGAGACGGAAGTGGCAGTCGTGAATATGAATTTGATTGTTTTTTGCAGTGGTTTTTGTTGGAAGGGAAAGAGGGACCTTGAACTGAAGGCCAAATTCAAATATTTTGAAAAATGACAAGAAAAGCTAAAATTTAGATAGTGCCCTTCGATTGACAATAAAATAGTAAATTAAGTAAGACAAGAGCTCCCGGACTAGAAATGAAAGCCCTCAACTAGCTGCATAAGGACCAAATGTGCCAGCTTCTTGTTCTTACTTTATACCTTTTAGATAAAAAAAGACTCAATCTAGAGAATTCCAAATACAATTTTGCTAAAACTCTTAAAGACACCCACCTTGGCGAAAAAGAGAAGAAGCCCACGAAAAACTCGAATTTGTGATATTTATAGTACTCTCTACCGAACCACCAACAAATCACAGAACATTCATTTTTTCTGACGTCATCAGAAAAGTGGTACAAGAAAAAATTTACTGTGAGATGTAGAAAGATCTTCCTCTCTTTTTACCATCGTCAATTCAAAGACGGCGTCATGGTTAGTATATTTTCTTTCTATCATCCTTTACATTGATTATTCGTATCCATCCATCTTGTTGTAACAAGTGCAATGACATATTGCTGGTAGTCTCACCGAAAATTTGAGGCCCCACGTCATGGCTCTTTGGGATTCCTTCCACGAAAGCGGGCACGTCGCCACCGAGGGAAGGTTAAGTCTTTCCCGAAGGACGACCCTTCAAAACCTGTGCATTTGACTGCTTACTTGGGATATAAAGCTGGAATGACCCATGTGGTTCGAGATTTAGACCGTCCCGGTTCCAGTATGTTTCTACAAACTAGAGATTTTTTTGTATTTGTTTTTGGAGAAAAATGATAAGATTCAAATAAATATAGAAATGCACAAGAAGGAGGTAGTCGAGGCAGTTACTATAATTGAAACACCACCACTCGTCGTAGTGGGTGTAGTTGGCTATGTCGAAACTCCACGCGGTCTCCGTTCCCTAACAACAGTATGGGCTCAACATTTATCTGAAGAATTAAAACGACGCTTCTACAAAAACTGGTATCGCGCAAAAAAGAAAGCATTCACTAAATACGCCCTAAAACACGCAAGCGGCGGAAAAGACATCGTTCGTGAATTAGAACGAATCAAAAAATACTGTCAAGTTGTTCGCATTTTGGCACACACTCAAATTCGTAAAGTCAACATTGGCCAGAAAAAGGCACATCTTATGGAAATCCAATTGAACGGTGGAACGATCTCAGAGAAAATCGATTGGGCTAGAGGTCATTTTGAGAAAACGGTCGATGTGTCGTCGGTGTTTGAACAGGATGAGATTGTTGATGTTATTGGCGTGACGAAGGGCAAAGGATTCGAAGGGGTTACGCATCGATGGGGTACAAAGAAACTCCCGAGAAAGACACACAAAGGTCTGAGAAAGGTTGCTTGTATTGGTATGTCTTTCCCCTTTTCTAGATTATTTTTTCCGTGATCATTCTGAAAATCTTATTTATCTAAATGTTTGTTTTTCTCAGGTGCATGGCATCCTTCAAGGTAATCTTTTTTTAGAAATCGGTTATATTTTATTGAATTGGACTTGATTAATTTATACTAATTTATCTAGAGTAATGTATTCTGTGCCACGTGCTGGTCAGAATGGCTACCATCACCGAACAGAAGTGAACAAGAAAATTTACCGTATAGGCAAAAGTGAGGATAAATCTAACGCGGCTACAGAATACGATCTTACCGAAAAACAAATCACACCATTGGGTGGATTTCCTCATTATGGAGTTGTGAACGAAGACTTGTAAGTATTGTTGTTGTCTATCTTGTGATTATTATTCCATAGTATGCGCAATCTAGTTAACTACAATATGATTTAAATATTTTTCGATTTTTAATAGTATAATGATCAAGGGAGCTTGCGTTGGGGTAAAGAAACGGGTCCTCACGTTGAGAAAATCACTTATTACACATACTAGTCGATCTGCACTAGAAAAGATTTCGCTCAAGGTTTTATTCGTATTTATGTTTATATTACATTATTTTCCCTTTACTAACATAACAAAAATATTTCTTTCATGAAAGTTTATCGACACTAGTTCGAAATTCGGTCATGGTCGATTCCAGACTGCTGCCGAGAAACATTCCTTCCTCGGCACACTCAAAAAAGACATTGTTACATCTTAAATAATAATCATCACAATCATGCACCAAAAATATTTTTATTGTTATTATTATTCTTTAAAAAGATCTTGTCTGCTCATTTTCGTATTCATATTAGAAGGAGAGAAAACGTAAATAAATAATATTGGATGAGGAAAATCGGTTTTATCCTGAACTTATATTGTGTAACATCCATTACATATATATAACGTAATACATTTTTTCAAATTGGATTTTATTATACTAAAATATCAACCTTTCCTATTGGAATCTTTAAATCTTATTGACATGCGCACATTAGATAAAAATCGATCTGCAGATATTGATCACTTTAGATTTTATTTTCACTTATTTCTGGCCGAAAATTTATCCATATGATGACTACTACTACTACTACTGAGAAGAGGCAAGTTTTCTTATAGAAAAGAGCGATGGACAGGTTTTTGGGGGTAGAGGTTTTTTGTTACTGCTATTACTGTTATATGACTGTGGGAAGTACTTAAAATTTACTAATAATCTTTGTGTGAAAAAAACACCAGAACTTACAATATTTTAGTTGCCGCCGAAAACTCTTCGGCATCATTCAAGGCTATCGATTACGCGTTTGATCTCTGTTCCCAATTCAACACGCCATATTCACTCAAAATTATTTACGTGGTCGCGTTGAATCCTGAAACAAATATACCGTTTCTGTAAGTTATGGTTTTCGTGTGTGATCATGTGAAAATATTGAAATTTGTGCATGTGGATATGAGAAAGTTTATTAATTTATTCTTTTTATTAAGGTATAATCTGGATCGAGCAAATAACCTTGATATATTGATGGAGGCTAAAGAATCGGCGGATAAGATCAAAGAATATTTGGATCAAGCGCAGTATAATCAACAGGTAAGCCATGGTTGAGGTTTTTGATTTTTTACTTTTGAAATGGTCTTTTTGAAACCTTTTTATAGCTGGCAGGAGTAAAATATAACTTTATAAAACACGAGGGTTACGGGTTGGTTAGTGAACTGGTCAAAGAATATATTGAGAAGAGTGAACCGAATTTGAATCTGTTGGTTGTTGGATCGCGTAATCTGGAAGGATTGAAAAAGGCGAGTTTTTTTTTTGGTAATCTATTTTTGAATCATTTTTTCATAATAACTAATGATCATTACTGAATAATAATACAGATGGTGCTTAGTTCTACGAGTGAATACCTGTTGAAGCACGTTCGATGCCCGGTTTTGGTTGTCAAGTATTAAATGAAAATAAGATGAGATGAAGAAAAAAAGATGATTTTTTTCGTACTATTTTCCGGTTATCACTAAAAAAGTTCGGTTAATTTTTTTTCAATATATTAGCCGAGTGATGTTATGACAATGATGATAGATTATAAGTAAGCACGTTTTATTGAGGTCTGATTATAAAAGCTCGCTCTATTCAACTTTTTCTAAATAGAGACATATTCATTTTTTTGATCAATAGGAGTGCATGAGATATAAATATAATTTATTTGTAATAAAATCAGCAGCAGCAACAACAATATTTGGTTTATATTTTAAATAAAATAATTTATCGATATGTATTTTTTGGATTAATTTTCGAAACAAAACTTGTGATTTATTAATATTTTATGATCCAAATTAGCATTGCTGCCTGAGTTTCATCAGTCTTAATTCTGAATTCCATTATTTTATTTCCATATTGATAGTTCCACCAAACACGACATTAAACATACAATTAATCCAAAAATTCTCCGATAAAAAAATTTACTGATTTAGTTTTCTATATGTGGAGACTTTTGAAATTGCTTGGAATCAGAATCATCCGTGTCAAGTAGATAAACCTCCTTTAGGAGTACAATGAATGAAATATCCATTGGAAGTTTTGTGGCGCATTATAATCATGTGGGATTCGCCACAGTACATGGATGGAAACTCCGCAGTGTGATGTGATAAGCCCTCGGATGTTTTGATGATTATTCGATAAGGAAGTTCCAATATATTTGATATGGCGCCGCCATAATATTAATCTGATTTCTTATATCCAATTTTTCTCCAGGCTATTTCTACATCCAACAACAGAGTTTAGAATTGCATAGTTTTGCAACAATCACGACAATTTTGAATCCACAGAATCAATCATTCCACAACAAAACGTTTAGAGAAAAGCATCAAACGTACCTATTTCCATAGATCATACTCATTCACCAGGTACCTTTCAATAATTATTTACTCCTCGTAATGTGTTTTTTAAGGTGTATTTCCCTCGCTAAACTATTGCATCCAACCTTGAAGTACAACAAGTGCGAACAGCACAACAACAAAATATGGTAGATGTTCCGACTTCAGAGTCGACAATAGACACAACTACACAACAACAAAGTTTAGAAAACTTCAATCTGACTAGTACTTACAATAAAATCGTTCAACGATACTCAAATTGCCAAGGTCGGGAAGCTATTCCTGATTCGTATACGAAAGCTCTTAATAACCAGATGCTTGGTAAATGAATTAAGTTTATCCAAACTGCTGCATATAAAAAAAATAGCTTCGCAATCACTTAGTTAGTCTTTAGCAATAAGACTAATAATATATAACATGGCACATCCATCCCTTATTTAACATTACTATTACTACTACTATTGCTGGAAAAAGCTCCCATTCGGAACCTGACTGTGCTATCCAAGAAGGAAGAGAAAAATGGTTCTGCTGCTGATAAAATATCTATTAAGCAAAAATACAAAAATATGAGATACGTGAAAATATCGGAGTTGGAAACAGACAAGAAAATTGATGTTAATTCGCTGAGTGAATTATTAATACCGTTTCGAACAGATGCTAAATTGAAGCAGGACGATGTGAGTGTGAAGATTTTAATTTAAATTTAATGGTATTAATAAAATCATGAAATTATGAGCGGAAATATTTTAAATGGTTTTATCATTATCATTAGTTTAATCCGTCAGAAGAAGGATATTATCTCATAAACGAACTACAAGATTCCCTAGAACGCCAACAAGCTCAAGTAGCGAAAGCAGCTAAAGCTAATGTAATGAGGGTTACACCGACGAATCGTCCTGACAAACCAAAGACCGGTGTGGTGACCATTCGGAAGAGTACAAATGGGACAGCCACGACAAACCGGAATGGAGTAAATGGTGCCAATACATCATCCACAGCAGCAATCTCAACACCTATTAATAGCAGCACACAAGGTAGCACAAATGGTGCTAGAATCACTGTCTCGCCCACATCTACGAGCACGCGGATAACAATACGTGAGTTTTTTTTTTCAGCATCAGTCTCTGTGCTCTTATCTGTAAATGATGCGTCGTAATTGATCCTAATAGCCGATCATGATTTGTAAAATAGCTGCTTCACGCATTAATTTAACGGAAAGTAGTGCACATGAGAGTAGGAACAAAAAGGTTTGTTTCTTTATACGGAATTTTTGCATTGAAGATGAGTATCTTTACCAAGTATTGAATAATGACCACAAAAATAATAAATAATCACATAATAGAAAAGAAAGTCAGAAGATGACGAGGGAAGGAGTAAAAAGAAAATTAAAAGTAAAGAAGGCAAGGAAAAAAAGAAAAGTAAAAGTGATCGAGAGGAGGGCGAAGTGCCACGGGAGCATAAAAAGCATCATAAACAAAAAGGCGACGAAGAATATAAAAAGAGTAAACGACGAGTGGTTAGTAGTTATTATTTAGTTGTATTCAAAAAAAGATTAACAAGTGATAATAAAATAATAAAAATAGCAATGATATTTATATATGTATATATATTATATAGGATAAGGGGAAAGAGCGGCAGGTGGTCTCGAATGACATGGAAATTGATTGATTAAGGTGTTATTGGCAGGTTTGGATTTATTTCTCTTTATAACTCTGTGTAGCGGGCGTGCGAGGGAATGTGTATGCTGTGTATGGTTGCGACGTTTATATATCGTGTTGTTGAAGATGTCTCTCATCGTCATGTGATTGATTAACTAACTAAAATAATAATTATTTTTATAATTAAAAATCTTCGATATACGAATGAACTCTATTTTTTACCTTTGAATCATTGATTAATTCGTAACATGATAATAACAGTGGCTTGGTGGTTGAAAAATGATTGGAAAAATATCATTTTTTTTTTATCATCACTTACTTATTCTATTAATCAAGTTAAAAAAAATTATATAAAATAATATTTTGGAGTGATGAATTAGCATACGATTACAGGAATCAAGAGGGGAAGGGGATTTAGCTTTTACTTTTTACAAAAACAAAAAATCAACAACTGTTAATCATTAATTATTACGTAGTTAGCAGCAACAACAATCATCATCTTTGTAAATATAATTCTTTTCAAATACTTCGTTATTACTACTACACAGATAAGAAACAAAAATATATTCTTCACACATAGGTGCACACAACCATGCATCTCAATTTACAGCTATCAAATATATAGAAATTTTATTATCTTACATTTTATTGGAAAACAATGAACGGTTATAGATATAATGTTAATGCATTTAATTTGGTGCAAGCTAATATTTCTTTTATTTGTTTGACACGGGTGTGTGTCTATTGTGTGTATTAGATGATGATGGTATAAAAAGTATTTAGTATCTATAATACATAACTGAAAATAAATAAATACATGACATCATAAACACTATTTATCTATATCTATCTATATCTATAATGCAAATCACCACACTACTGTATGCAACAATTCCGCTCATTCGGCCCACCACCATTCGAAAACTCTTTCAACTGCAGATTTTGTGCAACGTGATGGTCAAGCTCAATCGCCTCCTCTTCAATGGTGACCGCCGGATGCGAAAACTGTAGCTCGTAAAACAGCAGATATGCGTTGAGACTAAACTCGTTAAATAGATAGGTTATTTCTTCGATCGTGCCGTATCTTTTGACGCGTTGTTCGGTGTTTAGGTCGTCGAGTTTGTACCAGCCTTCATCCTGTTTATATATTAATTGATAATTTATTAAATATCACTATTAAAAAACAAAATGATTCAATTTAAATAAATAAAGCACTCACGTCAGAAGTATACCCAATATAATGTCCCGACGATAAATTGCTCCCAATATGACACACGACTGATCGTAATTGCAAACGATACCGATGCTCGGTATTACAACGACATGGTTCGTCCACCGCCTCTAAGTTGAGGAATGTGTTGAAGTTGACACTAGGAGGAATGATTACTCGTTTTTCTATTCGAAATGGTTGATATTTGTCATTGTAACCGTATCGTTTTAAGACTAGTGGAAGAATTAGATTTTTATCCGGGAATTGAAAAGTATCTGCATGAATTTGTTCGCCTACATAATAAAAGTTTCAATAAACATGAATAAAAAAAATCAGACCCAAAAAATCAAGATATTTTATAATCAATGATATATATATATACCTTGTTCATTGCTCGCAGAATAAAAAGGCAAAAGCTTTAAGAACTGCCATGCAGACACCGGTACTTCTTCGATAGTCTGAGACTTTTCATCTTCATACTCTTCCTCCTCGCTTTCCTTTAATTCCATCAACTCACCATCATTACCATCACCGCCACGATTATCATTTCCCACGGTACGATTGATCCCTGACACAACATTATTATGAAAATACAGCATCAGTGCCTCTTCCAACGACACAGGCGCCAGATCTTGCGGATCACCCGGAATAGCAATCTGAATTATCCGCTCGGTGACTACTCGTTCATCATTTGCTTCCTCGGTTGCGCCATGGTATAAGTGGATCCCGAGCGGGAGATATGGTAATTCAAAGAGACTCGAGAGGAATAAAAAGAATTCAGAGGTGTCTTCTTGTGTCGGGTGTCCTTTGTCATCTGTGCCGATCCAGCCGCATTTTCGAAGGTTCTCACGCAATTGCTAGTAAAGGCTAAAGTCAGCAAAAAACGACGCGTCTTTAGGCCCAGTTAACCGAACCTTTCTTTATTGCTTGAAACTAGCAAAAGTACTTGCCTGGACCATTTGTGTGTTTAAGAAACTGCCTGATCTTAATCGATTAACAAATAGTCGTAAATGTACAAGTAAATCTGATGCATCAGGTTTTTCGGGCTCGACATAAAGCAGTCCATCAAACGCTCGCATTCTAGCAAACATTGCGAACAAAAGACTATCTAGAGAAACAATTAAAACATTTTAGCCCTACAAAAGAATTATAAATATAGGAAACATTGTTAATTACCTATATAACAACTAGTTCCCCGGTCATTCTCCGCACCAACCATGCACACATTATTATTAACCTCATTGACCAGCCCTTCCTCCGCCTCAACCATATCCCTACAATACTCTGCAACCAGCTCCACGTTCCACGAGTTCCTCTCCAGCAGTAGTTCCACCTGCATGCTTTCCATAGGGTGCCCTATATCCGCAAGAAAAGTCTGCAACTGATCAATTTTGTGTTCTTTTTCTCGAAGTTCTTCAGCGGAGTAAATTTTTTTTGCTGGAATTGGCGAACTACTACGAGACGGTGAAAACAGAAAAGCAAGAAGAATGCTACTAATTCTTTTTCTTATTCTGTGCATTGGTGAGTGACTCTTTTTTATTGGAGACTGTCTAGTCTGTAGCAGTTGTTTTTTGCTGTCTTCCATGTAGTTGTTTTTGCTTTTGAATTTTGAAAGTTAGAGAAATCTTCCATTACTGAAGGTTCTTTATTTATTGTGAAAAAGTTGCAGAGACGCGCGTGCCATGCATCATTCTAGCTGCATGCATTCATGCAGCTAAGCCTCTATTCTTTCCGATTTCTTCAGACAATAGAGATTAATGGAATTTACTTGTTTGGAAATATGTGTGGAATTCTTGTTCAATTCGTGCGACAGCATTTTGCTATTGATAACAATAATGGTAAAAATAATAATGACACTTGCTTAGGATTAAGATTAATTGAACAAAACAAGAAACGTGGTAATTATGTATTTTGATAATCTATACATACAGTCAGGACTCGATATATCGATTTTCATTTCCCGTTCATAGGAAATATTGTGGGCAAAATCCATAATTGCTCATCGCTAAATCGCATAGTCGATAAATCGAGCCCTGACTGTAATGAGCATTTATCAACTAACACTAATTGATTGATTGCTTGGATGGATAGGACCAGATGCTCAAAATTATTATCACGAAATTATTACGTTAAGCAATGATAATAAAAATAATGATACTATCGCTAAAGAAAATGAGCGGAGTGATTATCTAGAATTTTATGGTGCAACTTTACACTTACGTGGTCAAAATCTAATGAAGCAGCCAGTGCGAGATAATGATCGTGTTTTATTATGGAATGGTGAAATATTTGATGGAATCGAGGTTAATCTTTTTTAAATTGACTAATTCAATTCAATCGGTTAATAAATTAATTAATGTTGTAATATTTCACGGAATAAAGGTATCAAAACACGAAAATGATACTGAAAAACTTTTTGAGGCATTAAAATCTTGTGATCAAGCTGCTGCCAATGTTAATAATATGAGAAATAATAGTGAAAGAGATGAGCTAAATCCTATTGCCCAGACTTTGGCGAAAATCGAAGGCCCATTTTCTTTTGTTTATTGGGAGGTTAGATAATAAATATATATTATCAAAATTAGTATTTCTTTCAGGTAAATAATCAATGTTAATATTGTTAGAGTTCAAGACGTAAACTGTGGTTCGGTCGTGATTGTCTTGGCAGAAGATCTTTGTTATGGCATTTACCTACTTCGAAATCCGATAGATTTATATTGACATCGGTTGGTGAGGTTAATAATAAAAGTAAAAAAATCGACGATTCTACTATCCCCATCGGAAGAGATGAACAAAATAACGGTTTGCATTTTGAAGAAGTGCCAGCAACTGGATTTTTCTGTTTGAACCTTGACGATGTTTATTATTCAGGGTTTAACGAATTAGGTAAAAACGACAATAACAAACAGCAGTATTGCAAAAATGCGTCACAATTTAGATCATCATTTTCTTCAAGATGAATATCTAATAGACTTTTTTAGTTATCAAGCAGAATCATTCGAGAAATTGTTTATTCATTATCCATGGTCTCATGAAAATGACGAAGTGAATGCACCACCTCAAATAGAGAACATTAAACATATGGCAAGTATTTATTAGTAAATTAAGTTCTTGCATTTCATTGTGTTATTTGATCTAATTTTATTTATAAAAGACATTACCTTTTGGAAGGATAAACAAAGCTCTTCCGAATCTTGATGACCTTTCGATCTTACCATCGTCCATCGAATCATCCTTTGTGCCAGAAATCTCTACTCAGATGCGTGAAGCTATCAACAGAATGATTTCGGAACTCGGCGATTCTGTGAGGAAGCGAGTAGAATCCATACCATCATCTGGGTAATAAATAATTATTGTGTATCAAAAAATAAGATGTTATTGTTTACTCAATCTCGTAAATTTAGCACATCACCCAAAACGGCAAGACTAGGAATTCTGTTCTCAGGTGGTCTAGATTGTATTTGCCTCGCTGCTTTGTCCGACAAATATCTACCACTAGAAGATCCAATTGATCTATTGAATGTGAGTTTTGAAAACCCGCGAAAAGTATCGTCAGATAATAATAAAAAGAATTTAGTTGATGCGAATGCGGGAGATGAACGATCGATTTCACTTTATGATGTGCCTGATCGGTTAACTGGTCGAGAAGGCTATCAAGAATTAAAGTATGAAAAGTTGGTCACTTGGTATAGAAGTGAAGTAGAAACCGTAATTTATTATTGGTTTAATTTACGATCATTATAGAAAGATTTTGCCAAACCGTCCTTGGAGACTCGTCGAGATAAATGTTCCTTATACAGAAACTTTATCACATCGAAGCACAATATTAGAATTAATGGCGCCATTGGACACAATAATGGATTTAGTGAGTTTTGTTTTTATTAAACAATTACTTATTTTTGTCCTCACGATTAACTAACATGAAAAAATGAATCTTAGAGTATTGCCATGGCATTTTGGTTTGCCGCTCGTGGTAAAGGTATGAGTTATGCTATCGTTTTTATATTAGATTCAGTATATTCAATTTATCCTAAAAATTATTATAGGTCAAATTGAATCATTGGATTCGCCAGGGGTATATATGTAGTTGCTTTATTCATTAAATAAAAATTAATAATAATAATAATAATAATAATAATAATAATAATAATAATAATAATAATAATAATAATAATCGTCTATCTATCTTAGCAAATGCATGCATATGAAAGTAAAGCGAAAGTTTTACTTGTTGGCGTGGGAGCAGATGAATTGCTTGCCGGATATTCACGACATCGTGAAGCGTTTCGACAGGCGGGATGGGAGAGATTGATTAAAGAGGTAAGAGTTGTTCTATTTAATTTAGTATGTCTTTTATGATGATAATGATCATTTTTCATTTCCAAGGTTCAATTGGACGTGGATCGAATATCGACGAGAAATTTAGGTAAATTAGCAATTTCCAAATTCAATTGCATAATAACAATTGATAAATTTCGAGTTAATATTAATTAGGACGAGATGATCGAATTATTTCCTCCCACGGCAAAGAATCACGATACCCATATCTCTCAGAGAATGTAGTACGATTCCTTTGTTCTCTTCCAATGTATTTGAAAGCAGATATGCGGTTCCCACGTGGAATAGGAGAAAAACTATTGTTACGTCATGTTGCGCGAGAACTAGGATTAGTAAACGCTAGCGTATTGCGGAAACGCGCAATACAATTTGGCGCAAGAACTGCGAAGATGACAAGTGGTGAGAGTAAGAGCAAGGGACATATGAAAGCTGCTGATTTGAGTGAGGAATAAACCAAACATAAGTCTTTTTGTTACTATCGTTGTTGCCCGAGATACGTTGTATAGTAAAATTCGTGTCTCTTAATATCATCGAATTTATCAATACCGATATTTAGCTTTTTTATTTAATTTCAACACCTATCACACCTCCATATTTTTTATCTTTTGAACAATCACAATAATCGTAATCTAATTCTTCGAGCCATTCTCGTACCGCCGGGCCTAATTTTGCTTTCATGTTTTGTGAATGATGACCTGTCCCAGTAACAATATAAATCGATCCTTTGTAGTTTTCGAGTTCTAGTGCTTCAAATGATTCCTTTTTTTGTATTGAAATTAGTTGTAACCTAGTATTTAGACAATCTAAGAGAGAAAAACACCAACAATAATAGTATAAATGCTTACATCCAAAAATTCTATTGCTTCGTCCACATGCAACCCGTGTAAATCTATAAATGGTTCTTTGCAGTATGTATTATTTCGAGAATCAAAGATTTTCCTTGCAGCCTAATAAACAAAACATAAAATACACCACTATAGTGAAAAAATTATTGATAATTGAAATGATGATAATAATGGCTCTTACTTCTCGATTTAGTTCGCGCATTCGTAAATTATATTCTTGCGCTTGAAGCGAGTATTTTTTTGCTAAATCCCCACGATTTGATTTATACGAACTAGCTGCACGCTCGTATAACTAAAAAAAACCTCCTTTTGAGCTCCATGACAAAATACATACGGATTTGGTTTTTTTAGAGAACACTAAAATCACACTTACAGCATTACGTTTCCGACCGCAAGCCAGTGCTTGAGATCGATATTTTCTGTAGTCAGCAGATAAAGCACTTCCAGTCACAAGCCAAGGAATATGTTCCGGAGGTTTAATGACAAGGGGAGCGCGCCTTCTCTTTGACGATGATGATAGTAGCCTGGAAGGGATTGCCTTTATAGGGACAAAATTTGCGGGTCGCGGATATTTGTTCTTTAGGATAGCAGCTGTCACATCAAGTTTATTTTCGTGTGTGGTAAGATGTGAATTAATTATATTAGAGTCTATCCATGGAAATTGTTCAGATAATCGTCGACGCTTGACCACACTAGCAAATTGCGATGGTGAAGAAATAGATGCTGTTTTTTTGGTAGTTCGAACTGATGATGGGGACAAAAGATCAGGAAACGCTAATTTATCAAAAGCATCCGGAATCGCATGGTTCACTTGTCCATCGGTGTAGTTATTGTAGGATGTATCCAGCGCATTGCGTACTCTATCGAGATCAATCTCGTGAATAAAGATACAACTGTCGCCAGCTAAACAGCTACCACGCATCCTAAAGTTATGCACGATTAATCCTTCTTTCTTGACATTCATTACTTATATTACATTTTGAGAGTCATTTTAACTAATCAACAAGCAGCAGCTTTTTGAAAGGACAAGGAAATATTGAAATCTTCGCTTACCAGAACTTGCAGATGACATTCTGCAAATCATGAGAAAACATGCAGTCTTTACGAAAACAAGTTCCTTCCAAGAAAAATCGACACATTTGTTTTCCTTTTTCTTTGGTTAACGTTGTTGTTGATGGTGATTTAGTTGCTATAGTTGATCCAGTTGTGTTTCCGATATTTAGTAACGAGTTTAAAGTGCACTCTAGATCAAAATTGCTCTGTTCAAAAATCTTTATTAAATGATCGGGCTCAATATCTGTGAATATTTGATGCAGTAGTTCCGTCAGAGACATGTTTAAGTAAAGATCACTTTCTTCTTCCTCTTCTTCTTCATTATATAAAGATCCATTCGATGCATAATCTTCATTATCCCCTGATATTGAACTCTCAAAATTTTCGATAAAAGTATTCGATATATTATTATTACTATTCTCCTCCTCTTCTTGTGCAAAACCATCAAATACTACATTATCATCATTCGCTCTAAGAAAAGAAGGTTTGAATTCTTTGGCCTTAGGATTTAACACAGATATAAATTCCACGGAAGCTACATTCGATGATTTAGTAAAATTTGAATCTAAATTTTCAATTTCAATCTTTTCCTCTTGGCCTGGATTCTGATAATTGTATAAGATTTCTTTTAATGCATCCTCAATTTTATCTTGCGACTATATATTACGACAAATCTTTCGTAAAAATAATGAAAATTAACAAAGGCAATTCTCCAATTTAAAATGTCAAAGTACCGTAAGCACAGGGCTACCACTCTCACTCAAACTTTCTCGTAAGACTTCGAGTTTCTCTTCACTTGATAAATCAGGGTCTTCTAGTATTCCAGTGTAATACTCGACCAATACCTCGTCGAACAATTTCAAGGTATTATTTAAGTATGCTGTGAGCCAACCTCCCATTGTCTTATGACGATAGACAGTAAACATTCTCTAAATTATTTATGGTGCAACTTGCATATAATGTGAAAACACCAGAGTTCTCGCCTAACCAAAAGATAATATGCTTTCATTCCAAGCTCGTAAACTACAATCTTCATTATTAAAGATCAATAATATCATCCGTGGAAGGAAAATAACGTCTTCATTCCCACCACCAAAAACATTTTTACACGCGTCGCAATACTCGTCGCGTACATTAATATCAAAAAGAACCACCACAATTACTGATAAACATCCCCTATCACAAATTACGTTACGTTATTTCGTCACAGACAATAATGACAATAACAAGACTAGTGGTAAACCCATTGATATTAAACAAGATGATGATGATTTCGATGACTCGAGAAACAAGCCTTTTTATAGGTGGGTTCCAGCAAAACCACATTTATTAGTTGATGAATTCTTTGACAAACCACTTATCCCAAAACCAAAACCTATTGTTTCTATATACAAATCAAAAAAATCAAAATCATCTAATAATAATGATGATAATGCGATTCAAAGAACCATGGCGGAACGAGAAGGAAGTAAAATGTTTGAATTCTTGTTAAAGGAAAAGCCTTTACGCAGAAATTTTCGAAATCCAGATGAACAACTTGAAAAAACGAATATGGAATCATTTACACCATCGGAATCACTATTCACGTCGCCTTCGCCATCAAGATCATCGGAGAAGACTCAAAGAGAAGAAGAAATTGATTACATCGATAAATTGGGAGGATATGTTTCAACTAATCCTCAACCTTTACCTGTCATTCGTTTTCCCATTTCCTCTTCATCACCAAAATCTCCCGCAACTGACTCACCATCTCTTCTCAGTGATATCCATCCATTATCTTTACCCACACAAGACACTATAATTTCCACCTCCACTCAATCATTAACACCCCTCTCCATAACAATCCCAAGAAAATCTGATCCAGTTATCACACACGTAATAAACATGATCATGCGAGATGGGAAAAAAGAACGTGCGAAAAAACTTTTATTAATGGCATTTCGACAAATTCGTTTACAAACAAATAATAATCCAGTACAAATCATCAAGGATGCTATAGAAATTGCTGCACCACGTGTTCGTGTATTCAATAAAAAAAAGGGTTCCAAAGTTACCCCGGTGCCTACGCCTTTGAATGAACGTCAACGTCATCATCGTGCAATTAAATGGATTTTAGAGGCAAGTGATAATCGACCGGAAAAAGATTTCGGAGTGAGATTTGGAATGGAGATTTTAGCTGTTATTAACGGCGTTAGTAAAGTTTTGGAAAGGAAAGCTCAAGTGCATAAAATGGCAGTGGCTAATCGTGCTAATTTACCAATCAAATGGTAACATGTTGATCTATCTGAATTTTAAATTATATTAATTATATTCGAGAAATTCTACAATGAATTTCCTACTAGTATTAGTGTCTTGTTTTCTTGTGGAAACACATTTTTCAATTGGTTATATTTTTATTACTAAAGAAAATAAATTAAAATTTTATTTAAATTGTACTAAAAGCATAAAGAAGGTATGTTTATAAGAGATCGAAATAAGAAACTTTTTTGGGGTTCCAAAATGGGAGAGGGTTGTTTCTTATTGCACTATAATAAAACGAATTAGAATTAATCGACGATCTTCATTCTAGCAACAATGGTAAAGTTTTAAATCTCAATAGTTAAAATACCTTGAGCTCAGTTAATTAAACCGTGAATTTTCTCTAGTCAGTAACTTTACACACAGATCTCGGTGACTTGAAAATTGAAGTATTCTGTGAAGCAGTCCCGAAAACGGCAGAGGTTCTTACTATTGCAAATTTCTCATTCTGTTTCTTTCCAATCAACCTTATTCTTACGTAGTGTACCTTTCATTTATAGAATTTTCTAGCGTTATGCGCTAGTGGATATTACGACAACAACTTATTCCACAGGTAAGTTTTATTTCATAACAGGTAAGAATGAAAATTCTTTCAATTTGAATTATTGTAAAGTGTTTTATTTTAAATAAAACAAAGTTTTGGACAAATACATCAAATATCTTGATAAAAATATGCGAAAACTTTCATGCCGGAAAAAAGAAATATAAAATCATTTATAGTGCAGGTACGTTTATATGTTAATTAGTAGATACTTGATGGATTTGTCTAATTAAAAATTGTAAAAGACAGGTGATCCTACGGGAACAGGGAAAGGTGGAAACTCTATATGGGGGCGAAAATTTGCTGATGAGATCAAGTCCTCATTAAAGGTTGATTTGAAATTCAAAAAAAAAATGGGCGATTGAATTTACTATGGGGTTAAATTTCTTAAATTCTTCAAAAAATAATAGCATAATGCTCGAGGTATCGTCTCAATGGCCAACAGTGGTCCAGACACTAATGGCTCGCAATTTTTTATCACCTACACAAAACTGCCTCACTTGGACACTAAGTATACAGTGTTTGGCAAGTGAGTTTAGTTTCCACGAGTGTAATAATAATAGTTCAATTCACAATGATTGATTTTGTTATTATTATAGAGTCATCGATGGCGTAGACACAACTTTGGATGCCATCGAGAAAGTCCCAGTCGATGAGAAAAATCGTCCTATACAGGAGATACGAATCAAATCGGTGACTATTCATGCTAACCCATTGGCTGAGTAATTATTTCTTTATTTAGAATTAGATGCTTTTTTTTCTATTCTAAATATGTAAGAATTACATATATTTTATTAAGTGTTTCTTGTTTGTATTTGAAAATAAAAAAATAATATTGATATATAAATACAAACATTCATTTTTCATTCGTGGTTTTAATTTACATCTTTTTTACATAATTGATATTTTAGCTAATCACTCCATTTAAAGATCCCAGTAGTTTCTATTAAATAATAATCGTTATGAATATTCACATTCCTTATTTTATATAATAAATTCATTCACTATGATAGACTGCTATTATTATTGTTGTTGTTGGTTTTGTGAGTCATCGAATTCAACCGTCTACTGCAATAAATAGTGTATGAATATGCTAAATTCCTATTATATAAAAATTTTAAATAGATTAATTAACGAATAAGCTATATGTATGTATATATATATATATATATATATATATATATATATATATATATAGTGAGAGCTCGTTACAGTAACATTCTTTAGAATAACATCTCGTTATAATAACTCCAAATCTCTTCCCCCAATCTCATTATTGTAATAAGCTTTCATTGTATTTATTTTTTCGATAGAGTAACATCTTCCCCCGATCACGTTACTGTAAAGAGCTCTCACTGTATATAATAAATTCTTACCGGACACGATTATTTGTCATTTCATCATCTATTTCATCCTTGCCAGTGTTATCGGTCTTATTTGAAGACGATTCTTGATCGATCTCGTCAATTATTCTTTGAGAAGCTGCAAGAGCTTTTGAATAAAGTCCATTTCGTATTTGTGCATAAGCCAATTTAATCATCACCGAACGAAGAATTATTGCTGTCTCTTGGCTCGTCATAGACGAAAACGTTCGTCTACTTGCATTCTGATATTTTTGTTGCTGTCGTGAAGTTTCGACATTTGGAGTAACATCACGAGAGGAAGAATTTGGATTAACATTATCATTTCTGTTGTTGAAGACAGGATGAATCAATGCGTTTTGGAAACTTGATATGGCGTACTCCAAGAGCGGGAGATGTGGGTGATGATAATCCCTTTGAAAATACGATATCGTTCGTTCTTAGAGGAACATTTTTTTAATAATGTAATTTTTCGTACTTTTATCTGTGTCTAAGCAACAACAATAAACCTTTATTAAAAAGTTTTCGAATCATACTCACACATCACCCGGATCTGGCGGGAAACTACCAGTAGCGGCGGAAAATCTCTCGTTACGAACGATTTCTTTACCGGCAAATGATGTAATCTATTAGTATTGATAGTAATTTAATCACATATTCTATATAAACGAGTTCGAAGAAATTAGATTTCTTGCAATCAAATCAATACCTGGTCGTATATATTTAGACAACATTCTCCTATTCGAATCCAAACCCATGGTGAGGACTGAATTTCACGAACTTCAGCGGCTTTCTCAAAGCATTGTAAAGCATTTTCATACATTCCATTGGCAAAATAACTCAATCCCGTATTAAAGAGCAATGAACTTGACGCGTCGACAAGATAACGTGGGTGAAAATGGCAATCTCAATCCAGCCAAAAAAATGTTAAATATTAATATCAATAATCTTTTAAGTGTTCAATGAAAAAAATATTATTTATTTACCATTTAATTGATAAGATAATTCATCGTTTCCATATTTTTCAAGCAAATCCGAATTATATTTTCTAGCCTTTGAAAAATATAACGAGGCCAAAGCAAATTTTCGCTGCATGAAATGCAAACAGCCTATATTATTATAATATAGTCTCATCCATTGTTCACTTTTTAACAAGCTCGTTCCATTAGCACCAGAATCAACTTTGTTGCATGATTCCATAATTTCGAGTGATGTATGGTAATTTTTTCGCAAGTACTCCGAATAAGCCTTGCGATATGCTTTATTCAATTCAAGCTCGATTTCGATATCCGAAATATTATAATCAGAAGATTCATTATCAGTTATTATCCTGGAAGAGTCACCAGAATCTACTGATTTATTAGACTCGATATGTGAATTTTTATCTGTGTATTGTCGTTGATAATTATATTTGGATTGATCGGTGTTTACTTGGTGCAACGCGTTGATACGCTTTTTAAGCGTGTGAAATGCAATCTCTGGGGAACCATAAATTGAAGGGACTGTCTTCAGGATATTTGGAAAGACATTAGATATTGAAACTTTATCGTCATTTTTCACTTTCGTTGATTCTTCTGGTTGCTTTTCTTTTTGTATTTCATCGATAAGAAATTCCTCCTGATCATTGCAGTAGTCAGCTCTATTGTATTCTGAATTTTCGAGAGCTTTTTTATCCGAAAATTTTTTCTCTTCGATGAATGTTGATGATTTATTAGATTTGACATCCCTAAACTTCAATTCAAGCCACTCGAGAATTTGAGATGCCTTAGCCGGCTCACATAATTCAATATACACTTCCATCAACAGCCAGGATATTCTACACGCCACATATTCCTCTAATCGATCAATGTTATCACGCAGAAAAGGCTCGATAATATCACGAGTCCCTTCGTATCGCTTCAATTGAAAATAAATAGCAGCCTTATTATAAAGGGGAATTGCCTCGTCAATAAAATGAGGGATATTTTTTGAAAAATATCGATAAGGTCCTATCCCGTTGGTTGCTTCATCTTCATCTGAAGCAGCTGCATCCAAATCTTCATCTGTATTCACTAAATCTAAATCTGATAATTGTTCTTGTGTCGTTAAAGAAATATCTTGTTTCTTGTGATATTTATTACTTTGTTCTTCAAGAAATGAAAAACTAGAAGTATTATCAAACTCTGATTTACTGTTCATTAGATTTTTTATATTAGTTAGATCACCACTAGTGGTAGCTTCAAAGCCCTCCGTTTTCTTATCTCTTATTACACCATATGCCGACAATGCTATACCACCAGAGGCATTATTCACTTGTATTTTTGATAGCACATCTTCTAATGTCTCGTATAGTGCTTGGTGTTGCAATGCGTTACCTTTATAATATTGAGTAACAGCAAGGTTATGTAAAACTATCGGATCAATATTTTCTTTCTGTTCCTGGATTTCTTTTTGTTCTCTTGTTCCTTTTAAATTAATCGTTGTCGTAGTTGAGGTTTCCGGTCTACCCGCTAAAAGTTCCAGGGATTCTAAAGCGGCATCATATTTGCGTTCACAAAAATATTTTGTTGCTATGCTGGCAATTTCTTTATCAATAGAGGTCATGACTTTTGATAAATTCGTCTTTTTTCTTGCTCGTCGTCTTTGTTGTTCCCCATTCTGATGTTTGATGGCTCGTTGAAATTATTCAAGATTTATCATTCTGACGCTATGTGGTGTGACTTTATCAGCATTATAATAATGATTTTTGCAAGAGTACAAATTTGTGATTTATTTACCAAAATTTTTATTTAATAAATATGTCGATGATGATGATGATGATGATGATGATGATGATGATATAAATACAAAATTGGTTGCGAATAACTACAAATTTTCATTTAATTTAAATAAAATTTATTTAGGTGAATAATTCCATAGGAGTAACCGAATCAAAGATAACAGAGCCTTGCAATTCTTCCTTTTCAAGAAAATGAGTAGGGAATTCAACGAGATGGCCCTGGATCTTTGATAAGTTTTCTTTAACGCTTTGGAGCGGATAATCTTCCTTACAGACATGACCGAGTCCAATCTTTTCGCGATCCGGTGAAAATGCCTTGTATTCTTCCCATGTAGTAACTAAATTAAAAAAAATTAGCTAAGATCGAAATATTCTTCATATGAAATAAAAAACTGATATTCTTACCAGTGTCATCAGGGAAACAATGGAAAACTTCACGGAAAGCTTCAGTGTTGGTCTTGGCTCGAGAATTCCAGTATGCGATGAATTTATCGCTTGCGGGATCCTTGACAATACTATCTGCTTCGGTGAGTTTAACAACTGACGGGTCTAGTGGATGTGGTGGTGGGTGACATTTCAAAGTTACTTTATCGTGTTCGTGGTCTTGGAGAAGACCAAGATGTTCCTTGAAGACTGTACGACGAAGTGTGGCAGCAAATTTGGCGGCTTTGTACTTTATCGTAAATCGAAAGTTGATTGGATGTTAATGTTTTATTTATGGAACGAGTAAATTAATAAATAGTTCTTTTGAGATACTTACAGGACGACCTGCAAGCTCGGAGTCTATTGTGTCGGTATCTTCAATCAAGGCAGCAATTTCTGAATCATGGTCTCCAAGTTGAGATCGATCATTTAAATTTGCTAATTGATTAAAAAATTATTTTTCCAATTAATACGAACTTAAAAAATATTTGTTTAAATTTTTGAATATGTTGAATAAGAACATACCAGAACCAATAATAACATATTTATCATCAGCAATTAAAAGCTTAGTATGGATATAAAGTTCCTCGGTGATATAGTTGCCCGTGATATCATCATCAACAACACCATGTGGAACAACTGGTTCTCCACCTACAGAAGGGTTACTGAGTGCACCAAGTCCTTTCCTAACTGCAGACGGGTTAACACGATCGTAATTACGAAGAGAAAAGAATGCAATGTATTTTGATGGGTCAACATTTGCTTTTCGTATTTCTTCGAGAATTGAGTATCCGCCGCGGCAAATTGATTTGTATTGATAATTCATGACAAGTCTGATGTTGTAGGTATATTACACGGAAATATTAGTATATATTGAAATGAAATAAATGTCTTGAAATAGAATGGTAATAAATAAAAGTGATCAACGTACCGAAGAGTACCAGCATCTTTAGAATCGACTTCACAAGGGAAAGCAGGAAGCAAAGGCATGCACACAATAATTCTGAATCTTTCATTATTTTTTGCGGCTCTCAAAACTCTTTCTACAATTGCCTGTTTTTAAGGATTAATCATATCAAAGTAACATCAACTCAATAATTAAAAAAAATTAAATAATTGATTTGATTTGCTTTGATTTTTACCTTTCCGATAAGATTTTTGACAGGGAATTTCTCGGATTCTTTGGTTGCAGTGACTGTTTACAAGTGTGAAGAAAAGGAAAATTAGTATTTATGGATTTTGTTTATTATTCCTATCTGAAATTACACTTACTAAAGAATTGATTTTCAATATAAATAAAATGTTTAGCATTTTTAATTGTGTCAAGATATGCGTTTTGGATCGATTTCTGTTTGAACAATTTCGACTTAGAAAATTTATAACAAAAAAAGTCAATATATGCCATAACTTCTATGTGGTACCTCAGTCTCAATTCCATGACTCCATTTCGAACTACTTCTCAAGATCTGAATATTAACAGTCCCATTATAATGATGCGCCTGGATATCTGTCCCAAAGTATTTGTAATTTCTTGCTTGTGGGGGATCCTCACGATCATGTTGCGCATCTGATTTGTAGACCAAAACTTTGACTTCTGGTCGATTTTCGGCCTTTTCCTTCTTGATAAAGTTCCAACGCTCAATAAAATGTTTGGCAACATCTTGGACTGGTCGGCCAATCTTTGTAAGGGAAATTTTTTAATATTGGATACGGAAATGGAAAATGGATGAGAGTTTGAATGTTAATAGATATTTATGGCGAATAAATAGTTAATGAGTTATTCAAATTCTTGTTGCTCACAAAGCCGATTGAAATGTCGTGCCAAGGCATACGACCAGTGTCTGTTTTACTGATCAATGTCTTCAAGAATTCCTTAACTATAATGAAAAAATTATGATTATCATCTATTTCAATATATAATATATAATATATGACATCGAACAATAGCAATAAAATACCATCAGCAAAGTCCTTTATCCTGGGATTTGAATAATCTTGGCCGGGCCAAATTTCCATAAGATTGGAATGAGGATGGTAATCAGCAAGTTGATGTTCATTAGTATCGTATCGACCAAAGCATAAATCCAATCCTCCGATGAAAGCGATATGTCTATCGACAACACATATTTTCTGTGAAAAAAGGAGAGATCAGAATCTTAGAAATAAATGATTTTGAATTCGTGATGTTTTATATAAAAGAGATATTCTTTACCTCATGATGCTATAAAACAAATATTAGTTTGAAAGAAAATTAATGGAGGAATTTAGCGTACTTTAAAAGTGGAAATTAATACAATTATTGATATTTATAATTTATATTTACCGCCCAAAAGACAGTCCCACCAACAAGATGGTCTGGATGTCTTTGCACTATTTGTTTAAAACTAGTTAAATTGATAAATCTGAAATCACGTGGCATCGTTTAAGTCACATACCAACGATGTTGGGATGTAGGCTCGACAAAGCATGTTTACTATGGGCGGAATCCATAGTTAATGCTTGAGACACTTCTTTATAAACAACCACATAAATTTTAACCCCTTCTTCAGCTTTTCTCTTGAGGAGATTATCGAGACGATATTCCTCATTCTTGCTGGGAGGTCTACGCAAATACTGTACATATATTTATAGACGATATTTTTATTTTTTTATTTAATTGAAAATTAATCGAAGATAAAATTCATTTTTCAAGAACAAATTTAGGTAAATTAAGAAATTTAATTAATGAATGCAAATTATCCCGTTTTTTAAAGTTTACTACTACTAACCAACTCTGGTGAAAGCCACCAATCCTCAATGAAAATTTCTTGCCTTGCGTGACTAATAGCTTCAGATACAGCTAAGAAATAATCTCTTCCGTCAATGTACCAGTTTGCATAAGCTCCTTTTCTTGGAAGGGCAAACGAGTCAAAGCGATGTTTACTACTCTTATTCAAAGTCCCATCATTAAAAAAATTTTCAACGGCACCAATAGCGGCACCAGTAGCGTTCCCAATGCTATCAAGAAAATTCATTATTATAATTGAAAGACGTAAATTCTTTAAAAGAATAGTTCCAACCAAGAAGGAAACTACAGGGGTGAAGAAAAGAAAAAAAAGTTTACGCACTTTTAAAGTCAATTGCAAGTTTCACGATATATCGATATTGGTTACGCAAACTTGAATAATTTTAAAATTCTATTCTACCGCCTAATTCGGAACAAGTTGTTTGAACGACTCGGTGCACTAGCTAATGTGTTAGTTCTGTTGTTAGTTGATTTATCTTCGTTCTACGCCAACTTCTTTTTATGACGAAAGAATTCAATAATGGATGATTATTTACTTTCTCGGTGTTTCAAAGATTGTTATATGTAGATAATATCACAATTGGTGGTCCCTTTTTTTTTGTAATATTAGGTTTAATTTAACTGAACGCTTTATACCAATTAACGTTAATAACTTATATCTTCGAATTGTTTCATAATGCGCGACCACCAACAGATTTATGAGATGTTTGTGTACAAACAAACGAATTTGTCATTGTTTTCGCAACTATATCATGAAGAGTACATTCCGTTAGTTATTTGGAAAATAGTTAGATCCTCCCGTGCTCAAAATTGAATGAGTAATTGACGGTCAAAATAATATATATATGCGCCAAAATTTCAAAACAGAAACGACATACAAATCCGACTCTTCCTTGAAATGGAAAAAATGTTATGGATCACGTGCTGCTAATGGCACAAACCAATAAAAATGCGTAATTTTTGCTCAGTCCGGATATATTAGAGTATTAGCCATGGGAAAAATTTTTCGATCACGTGATATAGATCTTATCCGATCACTGACCGATCTATTGTGTATCATATAGATTTTTTTACTTAATAATAAAAAAAATATATATTTTCACCAAGATAAATATAAGTGCAATGAATAAAAATAATACATAATTATGTGAAAGTTATTGTATTTTTTCTGATTATTAAACATGTTATTATTACAAATAAAATTCTTATTAAACTTCAAAGATTAATATAATATTATAAATTTTAATAAAAATTCTTAATTAAAGAATACATTGTCACCATTTTTAGAGTCATTGTCTATGATGATATTTCTGAAATATGATGAGTGACTGTATTCAATTGAAAGATCGGGCTACTGAACTATCAAAACTTATAATTTAAATATCAAATATTGTTACCGTTTTGAGCTTTTGCATATGAAAGTATTTCAAAATGACAATAATGACTGTGTTCACGGCAATTTACTTTGAATATTATGACTAAATTGTATTTATGACGATGAATGATGTTTCTTGACAAGATAAAAGTGACAAAGATACTAAACTAATAACAAAACTAAACTAAAAGGTAAACTTAATCGAAAAGTATTTATAATTCCAAAAATAAATCAATTAAACATGTTAAACTCGACATTAAACCAAAAGAAACTCAAAACTAAAACTTAAGAACTTAAAATATGAACCAGAAAACTTAAATCGAACTAAGAGAACTTGAGAACTTGATTTTTATTAATTATCAGCACTTGTATTTATACATGTTTTCATGTTACAGTGGTACAGTATGATACAGTAATGCGCAGTATGGCACAGCATGACGCAGTTGCAGTGCAGCATGTGGCACAGTAGATCTTTGCTAACACTATGAAATTATTGGTTCTTTTCTAAATTATACGAAATTTAACTATATTATAATTAATAATCTTGTTCTACATTTAAATACCAATAGCAAAAATAAAAAATAAAGACTAAACTAATATAGATAATGATGAAATTTGCCAAGAAAATGGTGTGATAAATATATCCAAATAAAGATAACAATAAGATAAATATAAAAAGATAAATAATACAAGAAAGAAAAAGAAGAAAATAGAAGGAAGTAGAATATTATCGAATCAATTACATAGTCTAAATATCATTATGACTAATTTTTATTGTGCCGCATCTTTTGTTCACGTGTTCTTTATATGAAATTATAGTCGATATTGAATCGGTGACAGGGTCCTCGACTTTAAGAGATTTGCTCCGCAAATCAATTGTTATTGATTATAATGATTGGTTTCAATTTGTTAAATTCGATATATGACTTTAAATGATCACTATTATAAGAGTTCTTTAATACTTTTCCATCCAATGTACGAAGTTTATATGCGTCTTTATTGAAAATATTATGAATGTAGAAGGGACCTTTCCATTTTTCGTCAAATTTTTCGTGATGCTAATTTTGAGTTTCTATTCTTTTCATTAAAACTTTTTGTCCAATTTGAAATGAGATTGGTGTTTTCTTTTTATCATACTGCTCTTTTTGCTTGATTTGTGCTTTTTGAATGTTACTAAGAGCTGTTTCACGTGTTACTTCCAATTCATCGATAATTTTGCATGCTCTCTTGACGATGGTTTCTTTCATTGATATTTCTTCATTATCCAGATCTTTGAGTTATAATTCGAGTGGTGTGATGACTTGATGATCATAAACTAATTGAAAAAATTCAAATTTTGTTGTTTCTTGTTTCATTGTTCGATATGCAAACAAAACTGATGATAGATAATGATTCCAGTCTTTCTTGTAGAGTTGAACAAATTTTGATAATGAAGTACAGAGTGTGCGGTTTAACCTTTCAATGAGTCCATTAGTTTGAGGGTGGTAGGGTGCAGATAATCGATGTTTGATTTGATATTTTTTTAAAAGTTCTTTGATGATTTCATTGACAAAGGTGATACCTCGATCACTTAATAATTCACGTGGAAATCCATGTCTCATTACAATATTTTCATAGAGAAAGGTATGATTGATTGTGCTGATGCATCTTCGATTGCTCATGCTTCTGCCCATTTGGTTAAATAGTCTACAGTGACTACTATATATCAATTTTCATTGGTGGTGACTGGTAAGGGACCTCCTTTAAAAAAAACGGACCATTTTTGATCTGGAAAATTCCTGATTTTTGAGTCTGAAAATTTCCGGATTTTTTTCTGATTTCTAATATCCGATTTAAATCTGGAAATTCAATGATTTTGTTAACAAATTTCTGGAAAAATATCTCATACTTTCTGGAATATAGTTGGAATATATATGCAAGTTAAACAGGATCTTTTTTTATTTTTTCCAGAATAGAGTCAGAATATATAGACAAGTTAAACAGGATCTTTTTTTTATTTTTCCGGAATATAATCGGAATATATATATAAATTAAACAGGATTTTTCTGAAATAAAGTCAGAATTTATATGCAAATTAGATGGAATCTTTTTTTTATTTTTCCAGAATAGAGTCAGAATATAAGTGAAAGTTAAATGAATATAAAATTATATTTATTATTATATAATTATAGATTATGCTCTAAATGTTCTATATATTTACTATTCTAAATATTCTATATATTTACATTTGAATGTTCTATTACTTTTATAATAAGTGGAGAAATGTCAGAATTGTAGTGGAGAAATGTCAGAATTGATAGTAGAGAAATGTCAAAATTGTAGTGGAGAAATATCAGAATTGATGGTAAAGAAATGTCAGAATTGATAGTAAAGGAATGTCAGAATTGTAGTGGAGAAATATCAGAATTAATGGTAGAGGAATATCAGAATTGTAGTGGAGAAATGTCAGAATTGATGATAAAGGAATGTCAGAATTGATGATAGAGGAATGTCAAAATTGTAGTGAAGAAATGTCAGAATTGATGGTAAAGGAATGTCGAAATTGATGATAGAGGAATGTTAAAATTAATGGTAGAGGAATATTGAAGTGTGAGTTAAAAAAAGCTGGAATATTAAATAAAAAAAGTCAGAATAAAATAATGAATAAAA